GAGGAGGGCGAGGGCAAGCGCGCCGGCACCGGGACTGCGTGAGGACTCTGACTGCAGCGTTCAGGCGGGAGCTACAGCTTCTGAGGCGAAAGAGGGGGCGTGGCCGGCGCGTGCCAAAGGAGGCGTGAAGGGCGGGGGCGGGGCCACCCGCGAGGCTCGGGAGCGCTGATTGGCTGCGCGCGGAGGAGGTGCGAGGAGGGGGTGCGTCCCCAAGCAAGGCCTCGAAGGGCCCACTGCACCCGGAGCAGAGGGGAGGGCGCGTGCACGGCCCTGGCCACCGCCTCTTCCGCCGCCTCCTCCTCGCGGGGACAAAGGGCAGGCAGGCTGTGTGGGTCTGGACATCGGCACCTGCGGACTCCAGCCATGGCCGGGGCGGAATGGGAGTCGCTGGAGCAGTGCTTGGAGAAGAACCTGCCACTCGCAGACCTGCGGGAGGTCAAACGTATTCTCTATGGCAAGGAGACCAGGTGTGGGGGTCCGGAGATTGGAGAGGGGGGACCATGGGGCCAGCAGGTGTGGGTCCGGGGGACCAGGCAGAGTGTTTCAGGATCTGAAGGGCTCCTTGGGGGCAGGGGCGAAGACCTGAGTGGGCGAGCAGAGACCCTGGGAGGTCTAGATGTGATGGCTCTGTGACCTCAGATTGCACAACCTGGAATGACCTTTATAACCTACTTGCCCCAGCTGCTCGGAGGAAAAGGACGGTTTTAACTCTTTGTGCTTTCTCTGTCCCAGCCTCCAGTGACCAGCTTCTTCCCGAGACCAGGTCTGTCCCCTGGGTGTCTGTCTGGGTCTGTACCTTCAGCCAGAGCTCCCAGCAGGTCCATTGTCCAGTCCCAGCACCCCCTTCCTGCAGTGTCCCAGCCTCTGGTGTATCCTTGCAGGTAGAGGCCTCTGAATCGGGTTGGCGAAGGAACTTTTTCAGCTGGCAAGTCACCGGAGTTGGTTACTATGCCTGGCGTACATGTTTTTCCCTCCCAGCCAGTTGTGTGCCTCGTAGGCTGTTCTGAGGGCAGCGCACTGCTGGACGCTAGGTCAGCAGAGCTGGAAGACACTTGCCCTTCCACTCTTGTTTCTCTTCAATTCCCTGTCCTCAAAGCAACCAGAAAACGGAAATCCTATCTTGTTGCTCCTTTGCTTAAAACTCTATAAAGGATTCCCACAGCCCTTAGAATGAAATCCAAACTGTGACCCCATGAAGCTCCTGATTAAATGTCCATCCACTTTCTGGCTCATTTGCGGACTCCCCCAGTCCGCCTGGACTGTGTGCTCCTGACCTTGTGGCAGTGACCCAGAGGCAGGAACTTGAAACTCGAGAGTATTGATTGGACCAGGGGTTCCCAGCCACCTGCGGATGTGGAGTTACTGCAGGGAGGCCAGGCCTTAGAGTCACAGGTGTTTTCACAGCTAGTTGATGGTAGAAGTAGAACAGCTGCCTTTCCGGGTGGACGTGGTATGGAACCTTGTCAAAAAGGGCCCTTCATACCCAAAGAGGGGTCCCGGGACTGGATGACCTTGAAGGCCCCTCCAGTGCACGCATTTTGGATTACTGCTTTCCATCTGCAAAGGCTCATCTTGGAGGAAAACCTCTTAGAGTTGAGGCTCTCAAAGAAGGTGTCTTAAAGCAAGGGGTGTCTCAGGGAATGGGTTGGTTTAAGAGTGAGATGGGCATATTCTCCTGGGGAAAGACAGACAGAGCTCGTGGGTGTCGGGGAGAGTCTTAGAAAAGAGAAATAAATTTCCCACGTAGGGCAACTGGCTGGAACCCATTCTAAAGTTCAGGGCGAGGACTGCCATGTGAAGGACTTTGTGTGCACATTTGGATCGTTCCTGAGTGGGGAGGGATTGGAATGGGTGGTCCGATAATCAGTGAGCACCAGGCCTCTTCCTGGGGCTTGGTTCACAATAACCAGGTAAGCGGTTCCCCTTTTCCATTCTCCTTCCTGTTCTCTTTTCTTTGTTCTCTTCCATGCAACACTGAGCCCTTCCAGGCTTTACCTCTAGGGTATAAACCTTTCTGTTGCTCAGTCCTTGTGATTGGGTGCGATTTGGCTCTGAAGAGATTGCAAAGTGAAGATACTGAATTTGTCACTTAAAAACTTCTCCCGTCCACTCCTGACCCCTGACCTGGAACGTGGCCGCCTCTACAAAGGCCGGGTGGATCTCAGCCCCTCCTCTGGTCTCCCCCTGCACTCCACATGAGACCAGCTTCTCTCCCAACTACTTGCTGTGCCCAACACAAAGACGATGCTTAGTAACTGTTTGCTAAGTGAATGAGCTAAATGGGCCTTTGCCTGTGCCAGACAGATGAAATCCCCAGAGAACATCGACTCTCGATTTTAAAACAGCCAGAACCAAGAAGCATTTATTCATTCGACACACATTTACTGAGTGTTTATTTTTGTCTTGGGCACGAGGAGTACAAGGATGAGTTAGCCGTGGTTCCTGCCCTCGAGGTGCTTTTTGTCTTTTGATGGTTTGTCCTATGTCACGAGAGGACGCAAGAAGAGCTGGAGAGACTTTACATGAACAGGCTTGGGGGCAGGTCAGGAAGGCTTCCCAGGGGCGCCAGCTTGAGCTGCAGCCTGAAGGAGATGGAGGAGTTGGTTTGGGGACAGGGAGGGCTCAGGTACTCCGGGCCAAGGTAGACACCAGGGGACATGCCCATTTGGGAGCCATGGGTCTAGAGTGCTGGGGGCATTGTCCAAGAGCAGAGGCAGGAATGGTTGGGGTGGATGCTGAGAAAGTGGGATTTGTCCTGATGGTAATGGAGCCTTCAGAAAATTTGTCAAGGCCAGATGAAAGATGAGGAAGCCTAAGACAGACAGAGTGCCTGTGGGTAGAGAGGAAGAAGGTTCCAGAAGTCTGGATAACTAGACTGGTGGAGGAGGCGAGGGTGGTGCTGGCTTCGGGCTAGTGCGTTCACTTGGTGAGGAGCAGCTTTGGGGAGGGCTGATGAGTGGAGCTGGGGGTCTGTAACAAATTACCACACACTGGGCGGCTTAAGCAAAAAGAAATTTATTCTCATGGTTCTGAAGACCAGAAGTACACAATCAAGGTGTCGGCAGGGCCACAGCCTTCCAAAGGTTCTGGGGGAGAATCCTTCTGTGCCTTTCCTAGTTTCTGGTGGCTTCTGGTCCCTTGGCTTGTCACATCATCACTCCAATCTCTGCCTCTGTCTTCACGTGGTCTTTTTTCCCCCGCGTCTCTCCTCTGGACGTCTCATAAGAATACCCATTAGTGGATTTAGGGGTCACCCGGATAATCCAGGAAGATCTTATCTTGAGATCCTTAATTACATCAGCAAAGATTCTTTTTCCAAATAAGGTCCCATCCATAGGTTCTGGGCATTAGGACATGGACGTATCTTTGGTGAGGGGCACAATTCAGCTCACTACAGAGGTGGGCGTCAGGGTCGGGGGGGAGGCTGGGCTTGGGATTGCCCTAGAGGTGGTCACTCCAGGTGGCGGAGAGGGTGCAGAGTAGCAGTCTAGGGAACCCAGTGTTAAAAGGGGCAGAGGAGGTGGAGATTTTGTGGGAGACTCCAGAGGTAAGATGCAGGGATGGATGACCCCTAGGGCCAGTGGGGAGGATGCTGAGTGGGACAGGGACAGACCTCAGGAAGGTCTGAAGGATGAGGACAGCAGGGAGGCCACTGGCTTTAGCAACCAGAAGGCTCATGATTCTGGAACAAGAGGGGCCTATGTAGAGCACACACCCCTTCTTTCTTTTTTTCCTAGTATTTTAATGGGAGAGACTCAAGCAGCTATCATGATGGATGCGGAAGGTCTGCAGGAGATGGGGAGAGATGTCCAAGGTGTGCATGTTGTTAAGTGAAAAAGGCTCGTGAATGGAAGAGCCGCACATGCAGAAGGACGCCTTTGCCTGTGTAACGCACACACGTGTAGAAAAATATTGGAAAGACTTAACATTGTTAAGGGGGTCACGTCTGAGGTTCTGAACTGGGCTTGGGGTGGGTGGAGGGGAACTCATTTTACATTTGATGCCTTCTCCACTGTTAGATTTTTTTCCCCCGTGATCATGTGTTTCTTTTGTAACAAAGCTCCGGTTTAATTATTTAAAACGCTGATGGTAAAGAGCCATTAGAAGGGAAAGAGAAGTTCCAGGAGCGAGAGGCTGCCAGGGAAGCCAGGGCTGGGCTCCCTTGGGTGAGGTCTGCTTTGACCCCATGAAAGAGGCGGGGAGCTGGGGGCAGGGCCGGAGGGTGTGTTGGGGCCTGGACAGGAAATGATGGACTCCTCTCCTTGAAGTTGGAGGTGAGGCCACCAGGGTTGGGGGCTTAGTACCAGGATAAGGGGCAAAGAGGTAGAGAGGCAGCTATAGGGACCAGGGGAGGGTTGGGGACAGCACGGAGCCCCCTCCCCTCGCCGTGTGAGGTTGCAGCTCATTTGCTTGTCCCCGCCCCTCCTGGGCTGTGGCTGGCCGGTGCCCAGCATCCCTGAGCAGAGCCTTTGTGGGGCACAGCACATGGTTAGGGGTGGGGCTTGAGGGCCGGCTGAGTTCTCCAGGATGAAGTGGGGCAGGGTTTGGTGATGGAAAGCCAGGAGAACGGGAGGAGGGGGAAACCTAAAGGTGGTGGCCAGACAGTGGGGTGGGGGGAGTGCTGAGGAGAGGTGGAGCCCAGAAGGCAGGTGGGACAGCCTGGCCTGCTTGGCTGCAGCCTAGGAGAAGAGTGCCCACAGGGAGCTGGCGGGTAGGGGTGGGAACAGAGGCAGGGAGGTTGTGCATCGTGGAATAGCTGGCTGATGGTTGATGGTGGAAAGATGGGGCAAGCAGACAGCTATAGGCAGTGGATGGGGAGAGATGGCTGGAGGCTGAAGGACCCCTTCCAGGTGATGGTTCCAGCTGGACTTGTGAACCTGAGACAAGAGCCCTTCCACCTGAGGCCTTCCTGGGGGAGGCTGCAGGCGGAGCACCGGGCTCGCCAGGCCACTCCCAAGGGCAGCCCGGCCTAAGGGGAGGCAGACAGAGCCCTCCTCCCCAACCTGCCCACCAGGTGATTTGTCCTGGGGAGGGTGAGCTTCCTCCTGCAGGCGGGACAGCCTCTGAGGCAGCGGAAGGTGTGGTGTGGGCTCTGCTGCTATTTCTAACCTGCTGAGGCTCACGGAACCCTGCCTAGTTGAAAAGCAGGCTGATTGTCAGGGGCGGAACCCAGCTCAGAGCTGTCAGGGCCATCACCAGGAAACCGCCTGGCAGGGGGCGGTGGCAGGGGGCTTGGGCTGACAGGGCTGTGATTTTGAAAGAGACATCTTTAAGAAAGTGATTTAAAGTAGGAGAGAAATATTATTAGATAATGGCTGTCAGGTTATTTTTTGATGCATTCTCTGGGTATTTCATAACCATCATGGCCCTAGATGGTGAGGCCTTCCTGGCTGGGGCCACATCCTGTCCTCCTTGCAGATTTCACCTCTGGGTTGGCACAGACCACATGTCAGAAGTTTGCCATTTGGTCCATGGTCACGTTAGTGGGAGGTTTTTATAAATAATCCACTTGCTTTTGTTAATAAACAACAAAGCAAGATGAGCCTTTTGGCCTTTGGTCTGGACACCGGGGCCCCGCCAGGCCCACCCAGCACCAGGCATGCAGCTGCCCCCTCCCCTGGCAGGAGCAGCAGGACAGGGCGGTGGGGGTCACCAGAGACTCAAAATCCTTAATGGCAGTGGCCACAGGACCCTCTGTCCACCTGTCAGTCCTGGCCTCTCCACCCAGCCGGCTCTTACCCTCCTTCTCAGCACACAACCAGGCCCCAGGCTCAGCGGTGCACAGATGTTTTGGGGAATCCATTCCCTCTCTCCTGAGCTGACTGCTGAGACTTTCATTCCACACCCCCCCTCACTGTGATTTCAGCAACTCTCACAACTAGTTTCCCTGCCACCCCTTCCCCGCTGCCCCCCTGCCAGACCTGACCACGTCCCCCTCCCCACTCAGGTCTCCCAGGTGACAGTGACTATCAGGCTGGGTCCGCTCTCCACCAGCCAGATCCTCCCTCCTCCTGGCCCATCCCCAGCCTCCCCAATGTGGACTGCTTCCTGCTTTGTGTGCCTTCCTGCCAGGATGCCCCCTCCTCTCCACTGGCTGAAGGACTCTAGGTGTGTGGGGGGGACTCTTAAATGCAGCAGACCTGTTGCAAATCTCCCCTCTTCTTTCCTGCCCATTTAGGGAGCTCCACCTGCCCAGTGGGGCTTTCGAAGCTGCCTCCAAAGGGGACTTTGAGCTGCGGGGCTATGGCTTTGAGGCCGCTGAGGAGCAGCAGAGGCGGCCCCGGATCGTGCGCGTGGGGCTAGTTCAGAACAGGACCCCCCTCCCCACCGACACCCCTGTGGTGAAACAGGTTTGGCCTCTTTTGACCATAAATACATAAATGGGCGGTGGCCCGCTCAGTGTTTTGAACACGAGCACAGTCCCCTACCGGCTGCTTACTCCAGGCCCCCAGGCACGTCGAGGGGTCACCCAAGTGCTTCTGCCCCGGCTGCCCCCTTCCCTCCAGCCTGTCCTTTGTCTTCTTCCCTCCGGGCTCCTACCCTTCCTCTCACTCCTCACTGTTCACCCCACCTCCCCACCTCCCTCTCCTGTGTATGAGCTCAGGTCCCGCTGAGCAGTTGGAAGGATGCCCTTTCGGCCGGCTCACGTGCTCTCTGTGGAGCTCTGTCTCTCGGGCTCCAGCCAGCACACGCCAGTCAGCACCCGTCTGTCCCATGTGTTTCCTCTGCCTCGATCCTAAGCCCTAAGCCAGGGACTCACTCTCCCCAAGCATCTGCCAGACAACGGTGTCTGCAGGGTTGTGGAATACACAGGCATTCGCTTGTGACCTTGCAGTTACTATAAACGTGACCGCATCCTGCATTTCCCTGAAGAAACTTGACACCACCATACATACTTTTCACCACACTCCTCCAGCTGCTCAGACTCTCAAGGCCCTCCCTCTCTGCACAGGTTTTCTCAGAATTCAGCATGCTTGAGAATTCTTAGGGATCCTCAAGAAACCAAAGGTCCGCTGGATTCCAGGTCGGGCTCTGCCTCATCTTCACGTTGGTTGTCCCTTCGCTTTTGTTAGGTTACTTTTTGCCTCTGCATTAGTCGGTTGGGAGTATGTCTCCTTGACCATCCCAGCTTGTCAGGCCATCAGGGGCAGGAATGCTGTCCTCAGCTCTCCCCGCCCCCCACCCCAGCACCTTGAAGTATGCTGTCGGGCCCCCAGCAAACACCACTGGAGCTCTGGTGCACAGTCCCTCGGGGGAGACGGAGCATCGTGAAGCGCTGGTCTCTCTGGGTCTTCAGCCTGGTTCCTCTGGTCTTTATTTGAACAGACATTTCTCGGAATGTCTTCTGGGAGCCAGAAGCCATGTTGAGGACACAGAGACTTTGAGGACACACTCCTCCTGCTCCCACGCTGCTCCCTCCCTCCTGATCCTCTTGCAGCTGGCTGGGACAGGGAGGGTTTTGCTCCACAGGTGTTGAAATGAGTTCTAAAAAGTGGTCTCAACCACTAGAACGAAATGGGTTCTAATCCTCGCTTTTGAAATTGCCAGGTCACTGCCCTTCACAGACGCATCGAGGCCATCACAGAGGTGGCTGCCACATGTGGAGTCAACATCATCTGTTTCCAGGAAGCATGGAGTAAGTCCGTCCCAGGGTGCTTTCCCTGCCACCTCCAAACAGTGCTGACATGTCCCTGTCACCAAGAATGTCTACTGTCTGATTTCTTAAAATCTCCTTTCTTTTCTCATTCATTGAAAGGTCTTTGGTCCACAACACCAGAAACCCAGGAGTGCCTTTAGTGCCATTTCGTGGGATTTCAGGAAAGAACACAGGTGTGCATCCAGCCTGCCACCTGTACCCAGGAGTTCATTGTTACATGTGTCCGGCCACTCTTGTGTGACACTTTGAACTTGTCTACCTCTTCCATTAGACTATAAGCTCCACGTGGCCAGTGCCTGGATGTTGTTTATTTTTCCCATCCCAATCCCCATCCCTATTTTTTTAACGTTGAAAATTTTTAATTGTAAAATATGTGTACTATTTATTGCTGTTGGTAAGCATACAATTCAGCAACATTAAATACATGTGCGAAGTTGTGTGACCATCACCACTATCTGTACCCAGACTTCTTCATCACCTCTCACCCAAAACTCTGTCCTCATCTCACAGGGACCTCCCCTTCCTCTCTCACCCCTGATAACCTCTATTCTACTGTCTGTCTCTCTGATTTGACTACTTCTGCCCCTACTTTTGTACCTCATGTAAGTAGAATCCTGCAGGATTTGGTCTTTTGTGTCTGACTTGCTTCACTGACAGTAATGTTTTCAAGGTCTATCTGGCTGCACGTGTCAGAATGCCCTCCCTTTTTATGGCTGCGTAGTATTCCATTGTTTGGTTGGACCACATAGTGTTTATTCTTTCCTCTACCCTCATTTTGTCTTTAGTGGCTTGAATAATTGCTGGTACATGGCAGACACTAAAAAAATACTTATTGGATGGTTTAACCAACTTCTTCCCTTTCTAGCATCTGGAAAACTCCCACTCATCCATCAGGGCCTAGTACAGATACCCTCTCCTTTGGGGGGCCCTTTGGACTCCCCTGCACAGAACTGAGCACTTTTTGGTGTCTCACAGCCACAGCAGGTCAAGGATCAGCTCCTTGTCCAGGCTGGCAGCTTCTGAGGGCAGAGCTGGGTCTCAGTGTGGAGCCCAACTCTCTGAGGGCTGGTTCAGAGAAGAACCCCCTTCTCCTCGAATTTGAACTTTGTAGTTCAAAGTTCAACAGGGAGGGTTTTGCTCCACAGGTGTTGAAATGAGTTCTAAAAAATGGTCTCAACCACTAGAACGAAAGTTGGAACTTTGTAGCCAGCCTCCCCCAACCTCCCTTCCACCTGCTTCTTTTGAAAGTTTGTTTACAATATAGTGGTTGTGAAAACAGGAAAAGAAGCCATTAAAATGAAAATGGAGAAATTTGGAGCGCTTAGCAACATGAAAATGAAATCGGAAAGGGAGGTTTTATTCTCTCGGGGCATTTGAGTCTCTCCTAATGCTCTAAAAGCTGAGAGTGAATGGTCATTAAGGATCTTTTTTTTGTTTGTTGTTATCAACAGCTTTCTTGTTGACTTCCTTAAAATAGCTCATCCTCTTTGCCAAAGGAGCCTGGGGAGGCTTGAGCTCAATGCCAAGGCCCCCGAGACTGTAGCTGGCAGAGCCTGCTGCCCACTTAGCTGCCCCTATGGCCACCACAGCTGAGATGGTGGTGGTACCGCTGCAGCACTGGGCTTCTGGGACTGGAAGGAATTGGGAGGCGGATGCTTCTCTTCCTCCTCTGAGGAGTGAGGAGAGTCACACCGACTTTGCAGGGGGATCAGGGACAAGCTGTGCTGGGCGCATGGCCCATGCTGGGGAAAGGTTGGTTACAGTCATGGTAAAAGAGGTCACACGCCCATATGGCGACCAGTTGCATCCTCACCAGCCACATCGCACAGCTTCCCACAGACCTGCCCTGCAGGTTGGTCAGTTTCAGGGCGATGGGAACAGTAGCAGGTGTCTGGAAACATCCCTTAGGCTGATCCCCCTGAAAGTAATGGACTTGGTTACTGGGAGGAGAAAGATCTAGAGAGAACAGTTGTCCCTCTGAGTCCACGGGGATTGGTTCCAGGACCCCTGCAGATACCAGACTCCGGAGAGGCTCAAGTCCCTCATAGAAAATGGTGAAGTATTTGCATATAATCTGTGCATATCCTCCTGTATATCTTAATGCATTTTATTTTATTTTTTATTTAAAAAATCTTTTTAATTGAAGTACAGTCAGTTACAATGTGTCAATTTCTGGTGTACAGCACAATGTCCCAGTCGTTCATATATATACATATATTCGTTTTCATATTCTTTTTTATTAGAGGTTATTACAAGATATTGAATGTAATTCCCCATGCTGTACAGAATAAATTTGTTTTTTCATCTATTTTTATATATAGTGGTTAACATTTGCAAATCTCGAACTTCCAAATTTATCCCTTCCCACACTAACTTTAAATCTTTAAATCATCTGTAAGTCACCTGTAATACCTAGTATGGTATGAATGCCAAGTAAATAGTTGCCTGTGTGTGGCAAATTCAAGTTCTGCTTTTTGGAACTTTGTGGAATTTTTTTTCAAATATTTTCCACCCACGGTTGGGGGAACCTGTGGAGGACCAGCTGTATACAGAATTGGTCCAAACAAGGAATTCAGGGCTCCAGATCAAGAAGAAAAAGACAAACAGCCTGGCAGGAAGTGGGCAAAGGGGAGAAGATTGCCTGGAGAATGAATCCAGAAAGGGCTGTGACCATGTGCCAGGTGCTCCCCCTCATTGGTGATACGGGAAACACTTATTTAATCCCAGTGAGATCCCAGCTCCCACCATTGGACTGGAGGATGTGAGAGTGTGACTGAAGCTGCAGAGCAAATGGAACACACTCAGCTGGAGGCCCCTGGTGCCCCCCCCTTCAGTCCCCTCCACCCCCACAAAGGACCACCACTGAGAGCCTGGGGGGGTTGTGTAAGGCTCTCTGAATTGTTGCTACGTGTATATGTACCTGCTATTTGGGGAAGGAAAGGGGGCAGGTACAGCTCAGTGGTAGAGCATGTGCTCAGCATGCACGAGGTCCTGGGCTCAATCCCAGTACCTCCATTAAAATAAACAAATAAATAAATAAACCTATTTACCACACCCCCCACCCCCCAAGAAAACACACAAAAAGCAAGCAAGCAAAAACCAGTGAGTTGCCCCTGGTGGCATCTAGCCAGAGATCACAGAAATAATGCTTTTATCCCTGGGAAGTGCTCGGCACATTTAGTGGTTCCCAAACTTCTGATGAGGGTCATTAAATGAATGGCTTTTCTTGTTTCTGAAGAAGTGTCTTGGTCCCTGGGAGGAGGAGCATTCCTATGGTGAGGTGCGAGGGTCCCAGTGGCCCTCTGACACTTTACCCAAGGAGCCTTGGCCCTGCTCTTACCAACCTGTAGATTAGCCAGCAGCTCAGGATCTGCTGGTTGGGAACGGTTTCTGGCTGTACCCTTTGCAAAAAAATTTTAACATATATATGTATTATTTTAATTGTGGTAAAATAGATATAACGTAAAACAGACCATTTTAGCCGTTTTTAAGGGTATGGTTCTGTAGCATCAAGTACATTCACGTCGGGTGTAACCACCACCACCATCCACCTCCAGAACTTTTCCATCTTCCCAAACTGACACTCTGTCTCCATGAAACAACAGCTCCTTGTTCTCCCCTCCCTCAGCCTCTGGCCCCCACCCTCCTACTTTCTGCCTCTATGAATTTGCCTGTCCTTGGTTCCCCCTGCAAGTCAAATCACACAACAATTGTCCTCTTGTGATTGGCTTCTTTCACTGAGCATCACGTCTTAAAGGTTCACCCATATCTTGGCAAGTGTCAGGGTTTCCTTCTTTTTTAAGGCTGAATAATGTTCCATCAGATTTTGTTTATCTGTTCATCCATCAGTGGACAGCTGGGTCCTTTCCATCTTTTGGCTGCTGTGAACCACGCGGCTGTGAACATGGGTGTGCAAGGGTCTGTTCCGACTTCTGCTGTGACTGCCTTTAAGACTGTAGGAAGGGCATCTGGTCTCGTCCTCATTTTACCTTGAAGTTTCAAAGGGCAGAGCCTGCCTGGCATCCACAGCCGGGGACGGGACTTGGGGCTGTGTTCTTCTGTGGGGACCTCCCCCCCACCAGGTCGAGGAGCCCCCCTCCTTGGATATAATTCTGATCTCTCTCCTCTCCAACAGCGATGCCTTTTGCTTTCTGTACGAGAGAGAGGCTTCCATGGACGGAGTTTGCCGAGTCGGCAGAGGACGGACCCACCATCAGATTCTGCCAGGAGGTAGGATGGTCACTGCTGCTCTAGCAGCTGAACGTGTGCGGGTCACAGAGCGTGGCCACACTGCCGTGGGTGGCCCTTCTCCATGGAAAAGGCACCCAGGTGGCTCTTGTTTTGCCAGATAAGAATATTTACTTCCCTTTTTTTTTTCATGTACTTAAAATCATAGAGTTTCAGAGCCAGAAGGGCCCTTAATGGCTTTTTGAGTGAGGGAGCTGCAGCCCAGAGAGTGGGGCGGGGCTGGGAGTGACCCCCACAGTAGGGGCGGCAGCTGACAGGTGGCTGAGCTGGCACTTGGGGACCAGGGGCAAGGTCAGTCCTTGCCCAGAGCTCTGCTACCCCACTTGCTGTTTGCCTGAGTTCCAAAAGCATCTCCGTGTGGCCTGTCTCATTTTCCCTATTAAACCCTCATACTTGGTGTTAGATGACCCCATCAATGTGGCTTGTCTAGGAGAGGCCAGTGCACGGAGGCAGAAAGCAGAGGAGCAGTTGCCAGGGGCTGGGCGGGGAGAGGGGATGTGGCGAGACGGTTCGGGGTTTCCATATGAGGTGATGAAAATGTTCTAACATTGGTTTGTGGTGATGGTTGTGCAGCTCTGAATGTACTGAAAACCACCGAGTGGCACGCTTTGATAGAATGAACTTTATGCTGTATGAACTATCTCTTAATATAGAAGTCCTCCGAAAACCCCACGATGTTCCAAGAGGTTACGAATGGTAACTTATCCTTATTCTCAACTTGAGCAAAAGAACCCCTGTCGTTTCTCCCTGCCCTACTTCAGAATCGATTCATGTATGGAGGAGTTTTCTGAGCAGAGTCGTGATCATGGTGATTCTATGAGCCCTGAGTAGTCCGTGCGAACGTCTGCTCTCGGGCTATAGGGGAAAGCCTCTCATTCACCAGGTTGTTGATTCTTGTGCTGTGAAAAAAGAGGAAGGGGATCAGCCAAGAGGTGATGATGTGCCTGAACTGGGTGGGAGGAGGAGGAGAGGAAGGTGGGAATCAGAGCTGGTCCCTGGGATACCTGTCTGCATTGAGGCGCCTGGGACCACGGCCGCCCTCATGTGGCTCATAGCATCCCCCTGCCCGCCATGCCTTCCCCCTCTGGTCTTTCAGGCCTCTCATCCTGGTCACCAGGTGCTGAAGTTCTTAGAGACAAAGAGAATTTGGTGTCCACAAGTCTGATGTGGATTGGTTCTAGGTTTTGTGTTTTGTTTTGTTTTTTTTTAATAGATGAGATGTATGATGATCTTTTTTCCTTTTTTGTGGTAATAAAAAAAACGTATAAAGCTTAGCACCTTAACTATTTTCAAGGGTACAATTCACTCATGTTAAGTACGTTCACCTTGTTAGGCAGCAGACCTCCAGGACGGTTTCATCTTGTAAATCGAAACCCGAAACCCATGGAATAACTTCCCTCCACCCCCAGCCGCTGGGAACCAGCATCCCACTTTTTGTTTCTATGAATTTGACCACTTTAGAGACCTCACATAAGTGGGCTCCTGCAGTGTTTGTCCTTTGGGACTGGCTTAATTCACTTGGCACAGAGTCTACAGAGTTATCCATGTCAGGGATTTCCCTGTTTGCTTTTTTTATTGAACTGTAGTTGCTTTACAGTGTTCAGGTGGACAGCAAAATGATTCAGTTATACACACACACACATAATTTTTCAGATTCTTTTCCATTATAGTTTATTACAAGGTATTGAGTATAGTTCCCCATGCTATACAGTAGGACCTCGTTTTTTATAGGATTTCCTTTTTTAAGGCTGAATAATACTCCACTGCATGTATACACCACACTTGGTTTACCCATCGTCCACGGATGGGTGTTGGGGTTGGTTCCACCTTTTGGCTGTCATTGCAGTGCTGCTGGGAACATGGGTGGGGAACTCTCACTCCCAGAGTCTTGCCTGCATTTGTGCATGGTTGCAGGTCAAATGGTAGCTCTGTGTTTAACTCCTCAAGGAATGTGGCATCACTTACGTTCCCACTGGCAGTTTACAAAGGTTCCAGTTTCTCCACATCCTTGTCAACGCTTGTCATCCTCTCTTTGTTTTGTTATTGCCTCTGGGTCTCCAGGTCTGTGGGAAGTGGCATCATATCTTGCTCTTATTTTATTTGTATTGTAGGGTCTGTGCTCTTGGGATAGGACTCTCGGAGTTGGAATACGAAAGTCTTTGGACTCCGTGTACCCTTTAGAATTGGAAAGTCAGCCCTCTCCACACTAAAAAGGTCCCCATATTTCAGTATGTCAAAAATCCTGATATAACGTCTACGTTCCCTCTCATTAGGGGTCCTAGGCTAACTGAAACGTCAAGTGATTGAATTAGACTAGAATTAGTTAAGTTTAGGCTGCTGAAGAATAGAGAATGCATTTCCCCTGTTAGCACAAACCTAGCATATAGTAAATGGTGAAGGAAATGAATAAATAATTATTCATTCTCATTTGTAGCAGAAAAAAAAAAGACTACTTTTAATTCCTTTGGGCATATACCCAGAAGGGGAATCGCAGGGTCATGTGGTCGTTCTGGTTTTGACTTTTGAGGAATTGCCAGGCCGTTTCCCGCAGCGGCTGTACTGTTTTCACACTCTGCACAAGAATGCTGGTGATTCTTACTTAGCTGAGCTTGGGCGCTGGGACAGCGCTGGCATTTCATCCTCCGAAGCACCGATGCAGGAATGGCTCTGAGCCAGGTCTAGGTGTCTAGGAGGACCAGTGAGTTCGTGCATAAAAACTGAGGGCAGTCGATTGGAAAGTGGGACTCCGTTGGTCTTTGCAGCTGGCGAGGAAGCACGACATGGTGGTGGTGTCCCCCATCCTGGAGCGAGACGCAGAGCACGGGGACGTTCTGTGGAACACGGCCGTGGTGATCTCCAACTCTGGAGCCGTCCTGGGGAAGACCAGGAAGAACCACATCCCCAGGGTGGGCGACTTCAACGAGGTGAGCCATCCCTCAGGCCACCAGCCTGGCAGAAGCACGGCTGCGGTGCCAGGAGCCTCCCTGCCTTCCCTGTGTCACACAGGCAGGCGGGGTTCAGTGGGGTTCCCAGTGAGCCCCAAACACCTTCAGCACAGACAGTGGTTCCTTTTTTAATAAAACCTGACTTGGCTTCCTCGAATTATTCTTTGAAGTAAGCAGTGTATAAATTAAAACAAACAACACACAAACAAATGTGAAGTGACTCCCGCAGCCCCTTTGAGGCTTCGAGCTCCTTGCCCATCACTGTCCAGGCCTTGATGGGGGTGGAGGTCCTTGTCCGTGGCTCTCGTGGGGTCTGAGCCAGCCACGTCCACGTGTCGGGTGACAGCGGGGAACGTGTGTGCACAGGTGTGTGAGCTGGGGCTTCATGCCCATAGTCAGGGTGTAAGTTGGGGGGCCATTTTGATGGGTTAATGCCAGTTTGTGGGAGGTTAGGATGCAGGGAGGTGGACGTTTGAAGGAGGGAAGTGAACTCATCTGGTGCCTAAGATGTCTGAACTTGATCTGCAGTAAGTACAGTTGCTCAGGAGGTGACGTCCCCCCCGCTTTGGCACACTCCCTGACTGCAGGGGTCCCGGCCATGCTCAGGCAGACCAGAAACGATGTGCAGAGCTAGCTCCAGTCCCCCAGGGAGAAAGAAGAACCCAGTGTTCCCTGGGGACAGCTGGAGGTGGGGGCGGGAAGACATGTCCCTCACCTGTTTACCCTGGGGTTAATCTTTAGCTCCCTGCAGATGGCCACGGCCTTGTCTCAGTGCACCAGTATCCCAGTTTTCCACTCCATGTGCACATCCTGGTTGTTGGCCGACCCTGGTGAATTTTGAAATTAAAGGGAGGAGGCAGAAGGCAGGGAGTAGATCTGTCTGGGATGCTGACCAGCACCCCCAGGGGGCAGGTGGAGCGGCGGGGCAGGCAGGACCGTGTCTCACCTGCCTGCCCTGCAGGGCCGTCTTTGACCCCGGGGAAGGATGCCCAGGGAGCTTTGAGGAGAAGGGCACTTTCCAAGTGTGATTCTAGTCTCAGACTGGCCTTCGTGAGCGGGGCAGGCACATGCCCACCGGGCTATGGTGTGCCCCCCGAGCAGGGCGAGGGCGGCTCTGGACGAGCCGCCGTTCCTTCCGCTCTGACACTCCTGCGGGGAACAGGCGGTTGGTGAGGACACTGACCATCTTGTGTTCACACTGACCACACCTCAACCTCTGGTTATACCAGGATTGAAACTTCACCCAACTTTATCCTTGGAAGCAGGAAGTTGCGTTGGGGACTTTTTAACGTGTCACCAAAGAAATTGTGGGTAAATGTTCAAACCACAGTGACTCCGCCTTGGGTTGGCTTGTTGTTGTCATGGCTGGGTTTGGGGGATTTTGGTTCTTTCTAGCGGATTGAAATTTTGGAACTTAAGAGTTGAGCCATACCAGGAGTGTTCCTTTTGGAGTAGGGGTGGTATTTCTTTTTTTTTTTCCTTCTGTTATGTCTAAGGAAAGGGAAACCCAACTGCTCAGAGGCACCCATGCATGACCCTGTGTCTTTCAGTCAACTTACTACATGGAGGGGAACCTGGGCCACCCCGTGTTCCAGACTCAGTTCGGGAGGATCGCCGTGAACATCTGCTACGGCCGGCACCACCCCCTCAACTGGCTCATGTACAGCATCAATGGGGCTGAGATCATCTTCAACCCCTCGGCCACCGTCGGAGCGCTCAGGTCACTCAGCACGCGGGGCATGGGGCGGCAGGGCTTGCGGGGCGCGGTGGCGGGCAGGTGCGGCCGCTAGGACGTCTGCCCCACCTGAACCCTGGGATGGTATGTTGTATAGTTAACCTGCTTTTCCGGGAGGAAGACACTCAAAAGTCTCCATTACAGTCCCCCCCGAAGAGCTGCTCTCCTGGAGGACATTGTCCTTTGCTGTGATGACGGGATGGTACTGATCCCTGCCCCCAGAGTCGTCAGGACTCAGAAAAGCTCCCCTTCCAAAGTGCCCAGAGCATAGGAGATGCCTGGCCATCGTCACCTCCCTCCTGTCACAGCTGAGCTCCTGGAGGAAGTGGAGGGGTGAAGACTTGGGATTCCTAAGGCTCGTGTCTGCAGAGTCCAGAGCGTGAAGGGCAGACACTGGGGACAGAAGGAGCCAATGAGGAGTCAAAGCTCCTCCTCTTGAGAGGGGCCTCAAGAGATTGGTCAGGTGGCTCCGAAACCTGTTTTGAACCAGACAAGTGTTTTCTTCTTTTTTTAAATGGAGGGACTGGGGATTGAACCCAGGACCTCATGCAAACTAAGCACGTGCTCGACCACTGAGCTATTCCCTACCTGCCAAGTGTGTTCTTCTTATAACACCTAATGCATGTGTGGGTGTTAGCCTCATCCTGGAAAAGACTGAGCAATTGCGATCAGGGCAGCGGATGGGGCACTGGTGGCCCCGAGCCCCTGGGCAGCCCCGACCTCACACTGACTCCTGGTGGGCGGGCTGCGATGACCCAGCATGACGGCACTTCCGTTGTTTTGCTCCTCCCTGAGCCGTTGGGTGGTTTCCAGTTTTGCGTCATCCACAAGTACCAGAGCTCTAGGAATTGTGTGCAGAGATCTGTCTCCCCAGCTCACTTCCTCCACAGCGGCCTTCCTGGCTCAGAGGTGCTGGCTCTCGCTCTCTGCCATGCTGCTGGCCTGCCGGGTGGGGCTGGAGGCCGGGGATCCCAGTCCCAGTGTGGGGGGAGCAGGGGCTAGTTCTGGTGGACAGCTTTGAGCTCCCTGTCGGCCACTCCTGCCCCTCTCATGCTCGCTCTCGGCGAACTTTCAGTCGAATTTCTTGTAAATGTCAGGAGGTGACATTTACTTTACTTTTCTTTAAAGCACGGTGCCCCTGTCTCAAGAGTGGCATCCCTCAGCATTCTGTTCTGTTACTGAGGCAGAACACAACCCTCTCGGCTACCTCAGACCCGCCAGCCTGTCTGCACGTGGAGGTCTTGTCTGTGTCCAGGGGACACTGTCCCACAGAAGGGGACAGTCACGTCACAGGTTTCCCCTTGGAGACTCTTCCTGGGCCTCCTGGCAGCATGGCCATTATGACAGTGTCTGTTGGCTGTTGTGACAAAGGGTGATTCCTGGTCGTTCAGCCACAGGCCTGGGCAGAACCTCCTGCTGGCTGTGTGTAAGGCATTCAGCACACTCTGTCTCCCCGACGTGGTCCCTGGATGAACCGGAAGCCAGTGCCCCACTGGGCACAGCTGTGGCCTGGACTCAGAGGGCCACCTCCCTGACCAAGCACCCAATTAAGCAAACAGAAGCACCTCAACATGACATGCATACAACAGCTCACATCCTCAGCTGCCTGTTACGCTTATTAAAGATGCTCCATCTTCCTTCCTCAGCCAACAGTGGTCCAACTCCTATCTTCCAAGGACCTGGTTCTGCAGGCAGTCGAAACACCAACAGGGCTCTCGGGAGCAATATGTTCTACCAGCTCCCTTGGTGTTCACATCCTCGACCAGATCATTGCGGTCTGAGAACCTTAGCCCCAGGAGGCATCTGGGAGAGGAGGGGAAGGCTGTGTGTGTAAAGCTGTTCATGGCAGTGTGATTTATAACAAGGAAAGGTAGGAGGGAGAGGGGTGCCTGGGTCAGGGGACTCCAGCCTGTCTCATCCATGGGTCATGGTGCAGCTACTAAAACAAGTCATCATGGAAGTGATGCAGCATCAGGACAGAAGCACGTGAGCAAGACGTTTCCAGGCTGGGGTCAGAACTCTGGGATTCTTTGCTAAGGATGGTCGTGGAGTGCGGAAAAATTACAACAGATGGCTCACTAGGATGGTGGGATTCTGGGCAAGTTTCTTAAATGCTGGAGTCGGTGAGTGTTGTAAGCAGGATGCCAGACAAATCCCCACCAGCTACACATGAGCATCGGCTTCCAGAAGCATCCATCCCCTTCTCTGGCATCTCTGGCCTCCCCTGTATCAGAGGCCCCCTCATACGCACACATGCACATGCTATGGTTTGGCAGGGTGACCTCATTTGGGGTTCTCCCCATTTGAAGCACCCAATAGAGACAAAGTGCTTTTTGATGAACTCAGTCACCCTGACCATCTGTGTGGCCGTGGGGGTCGGAGATTTCTGCCATATCTGCATTACTCGGGAGCATGCCCTCCCACCCCTTGCTGCCTTTCACCTTCCCTCTGAGATTGTTTTTAGGGGATGTGGTTGTTTTTAGGGGAAATGAGGCCGATGTCCTTGTACCCCCGCCAGGCTCTCTGCCGTCCCCACATGCCCCGGGCTCTCAGGAACCTTCCTGTCCCTCACTCGTTGTGAGAGCCTCCTCTTTCTTGCCAGCTGTGGGTGTGAGTCCTGCACACTGCACCCTCCCTGGAGGCCTGCAGGAAAGATGCTCTACAGCTCTCGCTCAGCAACCGTCTGTTTAATTTCTGAAAATGTCATTGACGGGTGTGTTTCTGTAAAAATCCTTTCTTAAAAGTTTTGTCAGCTCGACTTAGCAGCTGGGGGGGCGGGTGGGGAGAAGCAGCAAAATGAGGCCCCTCAATCAAGCCTGTGATTTTTTTAAATCAGACTCGTGCCTCCTCCTGAGAATTAGGCTGGTGACAAGCACCCACCCACCCCTTCCACCTACTCGCTGGTTTAAACCAGGTGCACAGTGACAGGAAGAAAGATTCCAGGGCTTTCCGCTCCCTGTCACTCAGTGTTTCTAAGTGGGCATTACGTCTATCAGTCCAGAACCCTAACGATGTTGTTCCTCAGACAAGAGACAATTAGTGATGAGCAGGCCTCCTGAATTCTGTGGCACGTTTTCCTTCCTGGGCTGGGAAAAGACAGGGTGTCCGGTTGGGGCGAAGTTTCCCACCGCGTCCCCTCCTTGGCAGGTGCTGGACTGAGAAACGCCCGCAGCTCAGCTGTGCCTGTTGGGTGATTTCCTGGACCAGTAGGAGAACCAGGGCGCCTCTGCTTAGAGACCTGGTGGGGTTCAGAAGAGGAAAATGGAGGGCACTGGGAAATGGGGGCCAGCTGGGGGAAGGTGATGCCCGTGCAGAACTACCCCACCCCTAACCCCAACCTGAATCTTCAAACTGAAGATTGGCTCTGTTTGCTCAGGCCTGAAGGGATGAAGACTGGAGAATGGCTTTGTGGGCAGCAGAGCAGGGGGGTGGGGGGTGGGGCAGGCAGTGAGAGCTTCCTCGGGAGGGAGGCACACAAGCCCTTGACCCCCCTGCTCCCTCCCACACACACCAGGTGAGGCTCTGCCCAGCCTGGAAGGTAGGTTCCCGACCCCACCAGGGAGAAGGGAGGAGTGAGAAGTAGCCACACACCTCCTCCTGCCCAGAAGCTTCACCAGCATGGCTGTCTGGTCTCCACACCTTCCCTCTAAAGACGTTTTAGAAAAGGAAACTGAGTCAGGGCGAGGATTTGAGCCCAGGCTGCTTCTGCCTGCAGCGGGCCCTTTCCAAAAGGCTGCTCTGGCTTGAGCGTGGGCTGAACTGACAGGTTTGTGGGTATGGGGTCACCCATGAGCACAGAAAGTCTCGGGGCTGGCCGCCGGGGCTGCAACGAGGAGCCGAGCATCCACAGAGTCTGGCCGGGAAGTGGGCAACCTGGCTCCTCTTCTTCCTCTCTCACAGCGAGTCCCTGTGGCCCATCGAGGCCAGAAATGCAGCCATTGCCAATCACTGCTTCACCTGTGCCATCAATCGCGTGGGGGAGGTAAGTCCCTGAGGCCTGGGGATGGGGGGCCTCAGGTGGGGTGGTGGGGAGACTCCTGCAGGGAGGGGGACCGAGTGCCTTTTCAGACCAGCAGAAGCCACAGTAGATGGAACCGCTGTGGCCCTGGTGGGGACACCTGGTGTCACCCCTCCTCTCTCTGCCCCCTCTCTGCCTGCAGGCCCCAGGTCCTAGGGTCCCCCAGGGAGGTGGCTTGATCCGTTACTTAGAAAGCTATGACTGCCCTTCCCCTATCTTTGTCTGTTTTTGTTTTTAGCCAAAACCATTTTGAAAGGCTCTCAGCCCATCACCACCAAGTACCTAGTCTGTTCGCCCCGCTGTTGACCCCATGCACCACATGAGTCTGACTACAAACACCGTGTATTTGTTACATAACAATCCTCTTCCTCATTCTTATTAATCATATGTCAAACTCTAATCAGAGCATCTGATCAGCCAGAGATAACCACAATCTCCACACTAAGTGGATCTCATTTTTGGCAACATAAAGAAACTCAGAGATTTAATTAGCCAAGCTCACCCCAGCTTGATGCAGTTTCCATTAGGTTTCGGGGAAGATACTGAAAACCTGTGTGGACACCCTCTTGCTGCCTTTGCAGCCCCAGGGCTGGGCTTTGTGACTCCAGCAGGTGGCCCTCAGACACCACCCACAGCCCCAGCCACTCCGCCCCGTCTTCCTCTTCTCCCAGCAGGCGATCATCTCCCCAGAGGGGAAGTCTGGGTCTTCCCCTTGCTGGTCAGATTCCCCACTGGCCCATTGATTGTCTGGTTCAGGCCGGCCCTGGTCACTTTAACTGTTTCTTAACCCACTTGCTCCGGGGCGGGTGCTGATAAGCATCTCAGGAGCTCCCCCTATGGGTGCATCTTACCTCGGTTTTCTTTCCCAGGAGCGCTTCCCGAATGAGTTCACCTCTGGGGACGGGAAGAAAGGTATGTTCCCTGACTTGCCGTGGGGCTTCTCTGTCTGCCCCCCAGACCATGTTTGCATACTTGGCGTGTGGGAGCCTGACTGTGCCCTGGCGTGGACAGCAGTGACTGCCTCCTTCCCCAGAGGAAGATGGGGAAGGGATGGAGTCTGCTCCCTGGGACTGGGGTGAAGATGGGCCGAGGTGTGGGGCAGTCCTGGGGAGTGCCCTGAATAGGGAGTGAGCCATCCACCCTGCAGACCTCACTGCCCCCTTCCTTGTCCTTGTCCACACCCCTCACTCTGGCTGTACAAGTGCCCTGAACCCAGTACAGATAACTTGGGTTACCAGAATCCACAGTTTGTTTTGATCTGAGAGCAGGTCCCACCTCACCTCTGCTAGGAATCTGCCACCTGCCCCCCTCCACTTCTCAGGCCAGGAATGTGGGAGGGAGGGGCCACCCCCTCACTGAGGAGGTGTCTGAACCATCTCAGGGCTAGTCCCCCTGGAAGCAGAGGGGGCAGAGGGGTCCATCTCCCAGAAAAGCACTTCCTGAAAGGGCTCCCGATTCCCCACTTGAGGCCTCGGGGACCCCCCCCCACCCCAGGTCTCCAGTTCCCCCCCGGGTCCCTTCAGGGAAGTGAGGCCCACTGGGCACCTTCTGTGTCCAGGCCCCAGGTGGACCCAGTGCAGGGCCCACCTGCCCTCTATACACCTTCTGTTACCCTACTTTGTTGGTGAGGGGACCAAGGCTTGGGGGCGGGGTGAGGACACAGCTGGCAAGGCTAGTGATGGCAGGCCTCCCGCTCACCACGCGGGCCACCACAGGAAGCAGGTCACACAGGAAGCCCTTCAGAGCCATGCGACTCCCTTGGGCTACAGTGGCTGATGCTGGAGCTAACACCTCTACAAGGGTGACCTTTAGAAAGGTTCTGGGGCAGAGGTGAGGGTGTTGAGGGTGACTTGCAGCCACCTGCTGGGCCTCCAGGACTGAGGAGGGAGGCAGGGGGGTCCTTGGGACCTTGAGCAGATGCTGGGGAGGGCAGTGGGGACCCTTTGTCCCAAGTGCCCCTCCGCAGAGTCCACCCGGGTCTGCATGAGCTCAGGGCCTTTCCTCTGCTCCTTCACAGCTCACCGGGACTTTGGCTACTTTTACGGCTCGAGCTACGTGGCGGCCCCCGATGGCAGCCGCACCCCTGGGCTGTCCCGCAACCGGGATGGGCTGCTGGTCACTGAGCTGGACCTCAACCTCTGCCGGCAGGTGAATGACATCTGGGGCTTCAAGGTGGGTCCTGAGCCTCTCCGCTCCTCCATGAGGGGCCACCCTGCTGTCAGCACTGGGAACCGCGCCTGCTCTGGCCTCTGAGTTGACCAGAAGCCCAGTGTCTTGCCTCCTCTGGGCCAGGCCTGGTGTGCGGGGGAGGAACCAGTGGGTCAGACGATGCCCAGGCGGCAGGCCTTGATAAACGCTCCACTCATCTGATTTAGATTCTGGGCGCCTTTGAGCAAATTAATCTCAATTTCATTTGTCCAGAGAATAGAGTGGATTGGCCTGTCTAATGCTTTTTTCCTTTCTAGGCGTTTGCACTTATCACAAGATAAATGTGCATGTCTGGCTCTGCCAGTGGCCGGGCCCCACAGTCCAGGCCCTGACAATGGAGGGAAGTGGGTCAGGCTGAGGAATGAAGTCCAGGCCTGCCTCTGCCAGCACCTGGCCAGCCCCTTCTGCCCTGGCCTCACTCCCACTTGTAAAACCAGAGGCTGACCGCGAAGGTCCCAAGCCTTGGAGACCTGACCTCCTGGGATACCACAGGAGTGTGAGTGCCCTCCTCCTGGAAGGGGGCACCGGCAGCCATGGCCTGGGACCCCCCAGAGCACAGCATCTTATCAAGGATGCAAATGGAATTTGCTGTGTTCATGTCCGGCAGTATTTCTGCCGGCTCAGCACTCATTTACATGCAAATCATACACACAAACGAACGTCACATTTTCACGACTGAATGACTTTGCCCAGCATGTCTGGGAGGAACCAGGGCTTCAGATCCAGCCAGATGTGGGCTACAGGCCCCACTCCCCCATTTACGTGTGGATGGGTCCTTGGGCACGTCCTCTGTGTCCCAGGTTCTCTTCAGATAGACCAGGCATTGTCCACATGAACGTCTCCTGGATAGGGGAGAGGAGAGGGCATAGCTCCGTGGGAGAGGGTGTGCTGAGCGTTCATGAGGTCCTGGGTTCAATTCCCAGTACCTCCATTAAAAAAATAAGTAAATAAATAAACCTAATTACCTCCCCCCCAAACAAAATAAACCAAACCAAAAAAAAAGAGAATCTCCTGGCTTGTCTCTCCTCCTGGGAAGCTAGATTAATGCAGGATTCCACAAAAATTAGCATTTGGAACCAATAAATAGACTGTTTCCTCAGCAGTAATTTTTTGAAAGTGGAAGCCTTCCCAAGCTATGGTGATGGACATCAGCTCCTGTCAAGGCTTCAGAAAGGGGGAGGGAGGGTATGCCTGGGCGTGAGCGCCCTGGGTGGGCTTTACAGCCCCACCCCCAGCCTCTGTCCATGTCCATGAGATGCCGCAGGGAGTGGACGGACCTCCAGAGCCGGGTGACCAAAGTGCGAATCCCGGCGACTCCACTCCTGGCTGGTGACCCAGAGCAGGCCATGCCCCTCTCTGGGCTGCAGAACAGCCTTCCTCCCCGCTGCCTCAGGGTGCCCACAGCTCCCTTCTGGTGAACAGAGCACAGAGGTCTTCCAGCAGGAGGGGCTGGGGCGTGTGAGTCATCTGGGCATCCGTGATCCTCACCACAGAGCCTGAATTGGCGCCAGAAGATCACACGGGGGTTGTGTCCCTGCATTACAGTCTGAGATGGTCCTGATGCATTTCTGTCCCACGGCTGCCCCCTAGTGGCGGCAGGTGGTGGTGAGTAAATGAGGAAGTTGTGAAACCAGGAAACTCTAAAGTTACTCTGTGTTCCGCTTTCAGATGACTGGCAGATACAAGATGTATGCACGGGAGCTCACCGAAGCTGTCAAACCCAACTACAGCCCCAATATCATGAAAGAGTAGCGGCCTTCAGCCCCTGCGCACCAAGGAGGGTACCTCTGCCCACAGCAGATCAGACATGCACGAGGCTTCTTCATGTCCAAATTCTCTGCTGATGCCCTGACAACATTGCTGTCCAGATTGGTTTAAAAGTGCCCAGGAGGGATGGGGGCATGGCTTAGTGGTAGAGCATATGCTTAGCATGCATGAGGTCCTGGATTCAGTCCCCAGTACCTCCATTTAAAAATAAATAAACTCAGTTAAACTTTAAAAATTAAAATTTTTTTTAATTTAAAAATATTGGGAGGGGGTATAGCTCAGTGATAAAGCGCGTGCTTAGCATGCACGAGGTCCTGGGTTCAATCCCCAGTACCTCCATTGGGAAAAAAAATTTTTAAGTGCCCAGATTGGGAGGGTCAAATGAGGAGTGATGGCTGAATGGGTGCAAGGTTTCCTTCTGGGCAGGTGATGAAGATGTTTTGGGGTGAGATAGAGATGATGATCACACAACATTGAGGTACTAAATCCATGGAATTGTTTACTTTGAAATGATTAACTTTATGCTACGTGAATTTATTTAAAAAAATTTTTTGTTACATGGATTTAAAAAAATGCAATTAGAGAAAATCCAAGGCACCAACCATGAAGACTGGTTTGAAGTTAGGAGGGTGGGATACTTCAGTCCTGGGGGTCTGCTTCTCCATTTAGACTGTCAGCAACTTGAGGGTACACGGGGCAGGGCACCGCTGAGGGAGTGCATGAGCCGGACGGCTGTGGGCAGGGGGACGGTAACTGGAGGAGCCAGCTCGGCTGGGCTGCTGTCCCCAGTTATTCGATCACATGCTAATCTAGGGAGGGCTGTGAAGGTATTTAGTGATGTGATTGAAGCCCATAACCAGCTAACTGAGCAAGTGAGATTATCCTAGATAATCCGCATCGGCCTGATTCAACCATGAAAGGCCCTCAGAGCAGAGCCGAGGTCCCCGGATGAAGGAGTAATTCTGCATGTGGACGGCAGCCTCAGCCCATGCCTGAGTGCCAGGCACCCCATCCTGACGGCCTGCCCTCCGGATTTAAGGGTGGTCTGCCCAGCGCCCACAATCAGGTAAAGCAATTCCTTGCAATGAATCCCATAATCTCTCTCCTACCATTTGTGCTTCTCTGCTGGACCCTGACTGATGCAGCTTCCGGTCCTGGAACTGGTTCTAGAGGAAAAGAATCTCAGGGAGGAGTTCTCTGCAATGGTTCTAGGTTTTCTGGAATTCTTCCATAATTTGATTGGATTTAAAGGCACAATGACGATTCCTAGTGGTAAAGAGGGGAGCGGTGGTGCATGGTACGATGTGGTAACAGACGTTTATATGTAGGCCAGCTACCAGCCTGCCCTTTCTGTGGATTTAGGGCTTACCTAGCCAGCCCCCTTCATCATGTGAGGCACTTCTCACTAATTCTCTTTTTTTTAATTTTTAAAAATTATTTTTATTTATTCATTTTGTGGGAGGGGTGATAATTAGGTTTATTTATTTATTTTAATGGAGGCTTCGGGGACTGAACCCAGGACCTCATGCATGCTAACCATGTGCTCTACCACTGAGCTGTACCCTCCCCCCTTCACTAATTCTCTTTATACCTCTCTCCCTCCCCCCATATATATATATATATATATATATATATATATATATATACGCACATGCATACGTATACATACACGTGTGTACATATGTATAGTATATACATGCATAAATTCCATATGTGTATGTCCTCTACTGATTGTGCTTTCTGGTTGGGCCCTGCCTGCCTGTCTAATATAGCAGGTTACTCACCTCTCTGCACCTTGGTTTCCATATATGTAAAATGCGACCATATCTCCTATCTCACTTTATGTCACAGAGCGGGGGGAGTGACATAGACTAGCTGGGCCAGGAGCCCCTTGGCAGTTGTCAGTGAAGTGCCTGCCTGGGTTCTGTTCCTCGGACCACACAGCAAGAGTCCAACCGGTGAAGTCTCTACCCCCTGCAGGTGACCAGCATGTCCAAGGTTGTGGGGTGGGGGCCTCTGGTCCCACTTTTACTGTTCTGAGTCAGAGGAGGGAAGCCTCTTCCCTCCTCTGACCCAGTAGCTGAATTGCATGAACAACCTCATGTCAGGGCCGGGGTGCTCCTGGACAGCCACCTGGGGTGAGGAAACCAGTTATGCCTGGCTATAACTCTGTGTTAACCCCTTTCACCTCTCTGAGCTGCAGGTTTTCACATCTCCTCATGGCCCCCTTTGTACTTTTTCATCAAATCCAGTCCCTCAGACACAGTGAGCTCTTCTGTCTACCCTCCGACTCCAGAACCTTTGTGCTTGTGGTTTCTAGAAGGAGCATGTGGTTAACCTAACACAGAGGCCAGCTTGTGTGACAAGCTGGTGTGTTTATGAAATAGGTACTAATTACCAGAAGAGAGAGGTTTGATTATCCACACCTCTTGCTGCCTGGAAAGAAAATCATCAGGCCTGTCTCAGAGTAGGTAGTCCCTGCACAGATGGAGTCATTTGAAGGTTTAACTCATGCCTGGAGGGTGTAGATGCTTAGCAAAAATTTGTTGGATGAACCCGGGGTAGAAGTTTCTATTTTGTGTGATCGTTGCTGGCTCCACAGGGGAGAAGTTTCTATGTTGTATATGGGGCCTGTGGCCCTTCAGTGAAGTCTTCTGACCCCTCTGAGCCTTCTCATGTCTAAGGTGACAGGTGGCTGGATTCAGGGCTGTCCAGTTCTGCAGGTAGCACCACTGCTGGCTTATGGCTTTACTGCTAGCATCTGGGGGGTGTGTGTGGGGGGGGGTTGCCAAGCCACAGTGTGCCCAATGGGAAAAAGGGCAAGGGCATTCTCCAGGATAGACCATTTATTAGGCCACAAAACCAGCCTTAATACATTTTAAAATGTTGAAATCATACAAATTATCTTTTCCAATTACAGTGGAATTAAACTAGAAATCAGTAACAGAAGGAAGACTCAAAAATAAGGTGAAGATAAATCACACATTCTTAAACAATCAACAGGTCCAAAAAATCACAAAGGAGATTAGAAAATATCTTGAGACAAAAACGAAACCAAAACTTACAGGATGCAGCAAAAGCAGTGCAAGAGGGAAATTTATAGCTGTAAACATTTACTTTAAAAAGGAAGAAAGATCTCAAATCAGCAACTGAATTTTACTAGAAGTAGAAAAGGAACTGGAAAATGAAGAGCAAACAAAATGCAAGGCTAACAGTGAGAGGGAAATAATAAAGATTAGAGCAGAGATAAAACAGAGACTAGAAAAACAGAGAGAAAAATAAAAGAAACTGAAAGTTTGTTCTTCAAAAAGATCAGCCAAGCTGGCAAATCTTTAGCTAAGGTTGACTAAGAAAAAAGGAAGAGCCAAATTACTAAAATCAGAAATGAAAGTGGGGATATTACTTCTGATCCTGTGGAAATAAAGAGGATTATAAGATGGAAGTAGGAACAATTTGTTGGAGGAGTCATAAAAAGGATGTGACCACTTGACCTGTGAGCTGGACCCAGGCAATTGGAGGCTCTCACCCCCTCCCTGTCCTTGGACTATCCTCTGTGCCCACTTTTCCTACACTAGGAGCTACTTCAGTGATGCAGCCTTGAAAGAGAAATGTGTTATTGAGACTATCTGGACTGTATCTATGACTGAACCACATAAAGTTCTCTGTATAAACTCTTGAGATTTTGCTGGGCAGGTGCACGTATCTACTTGTCTTGCAGCTTCATATGTGAATTCCCCTGCCCATTAAAACTGCCACCTGCCAACCTGGTGTGTTCTGCCTGTTTCTATGGTTCTCCTTCCCTCTGTGTGAAGTGGCTGGTTTTGAATTTCACCTGGGAAACTTCTGAGGTTGCGAACCAACATAATTATACACCAACAAATTGGATAGCTTAGATGAAATGGGACAACTCCTAGAAATACAAAACCTACCAAGACTGAGTCACGACGAAATAGAAAATGTGAATAGTCCTGTAACTAGTAAGGAGATAGAATGAGTAATCAAGACCCTCCCAAAAAAGAAAAGCCCTGGACCTAATGGCTTCACTGATGAATTCCACCAAACATTCAAGGGAGAATTAACACCATTTCTCCTCACATTCTTCCACAAAATTGAGGAGGAGGGAGCCCTTCTTAACTTATTCTATGAGGCTAACTTTACCCTGACACCCAAGCCAGACAAAGATACTACAAGAAAACAAAACTACAGACCAATATTCCTTTGAATATTGGTGTAGAAATCCTCAACAACATACTAGAAAACTGAATTCAGCAGTATAGCAAAAGGATTATACACCATGACCAAGTGGCATCTAGTCCCAGAATGCAAGGATGGTTCAAAGTACAAAAATCTGGGGGAGGGTAGAGCTCAGTGGTAGAGTACATGCCTAGCATGCACAAGGTCCTGGGTTCAATCCCTACTATCTCCATTTAAATAAATAAATAAAAACTTAATTACCTCCCCACAAAAAGAATTTTAAATATAAATAAATAAATATATATATATATATATGTGTGTGTGTGTGTGTGTGTGTGTATATATATGGCTATTTGCTGCAGCATGGTTGGATCTTGAGATCATCATT